GTCAACATGAACACTTACAGTCCCCACTCAACTTTTGAAAGAACAAACATCATACGTCATTCATTTGAAAGAAAATTCCCCCCTTAAGAGAGGCACATCCACCCAGCGTCCAGACCCGGTTTACAGGTTGCTACTGACTTTTAGTAAGGTTACCTCCTAAGAAACACCTCAGTCTCCTTGGGGTTTCTGTAGGGGGAAACCCCCGTCTGGAGCCTGCGGGGTGGGGAGTCCCTTTCCTCATGACTAGATGCTCCTGACATGATCATCATTTTGATGATGATGTCAGGACGTATAATGTGCTGACATCACATTATACAAGATGACCTTAACGTGGACCAAAAACAGGGCTGGGTCACATATTCCAACACATCTCTAACCCTGTCCCTGGAGGACAGAAGAAAATGTATATATGCTGGTTAGCATTGTTAATGTGTGGCCACGTCTGTGGTAGACAATAATAATAATAAACAAATCTTCCAACATAACTAATCTCTGCCTTAACAAACTCTCGTCACCGTCGTTTATGATATATAACTTTACATTTTTAGTTCAGTAGTTTTTTCGAAGAAAATGATGTATACAATGAGCCTAGTTGTTCGAGGGGTCGTGTGGGTCACGTCAAGACTTGACATGTAACAATGAGCCTAGTTGTTCGAGGGGTCGTGTGGGTCACGTCAAGACTTGACATGTAACAATGAGCCTAGTTGTTCGAGGGGTCGTGTGGGTCAGGTCAAGACTTGACATGTAACAATGAGCCTAGTTGTTCGAGGGGTCGTGTGGGTCAGGTCAAGACTTGACATGTAACAATGAGCCTAGTTGTTCGAGGGGTCGTGTGGGTCAGGTCAAGACTTGACATGTAACAATGAGCCTAGTTGTTCGAGGGGTCGTGTGGGTCAGGTCAAGACTTGACATGTAACAATGAGCCTAGTTGTTCGAGGGGTCGTGTGGGTCACGTCAAGACTTGACATGTAACAATGAGCCTAGTTGTTCGAGGGGTCGTGTGGGTCAGGTCAAGACTTGACATGTAACAATGAGCCTAGTTGTTCGAGGGGTCGTGTGGGTCAGGTCAAGACTTGACATGTAACAATGAGCCTAGTTGTTCGAGGGGTCGTGTGGGTCAGGTCAAGACTTGACATGTAACAATGAGCCTAGTTGTTCGAGGGGTCGTGTGGGTCAGGTCAAGACTTGAAGAATGTAACTCACCTCGTCACCAAACATGAGTTTACTTCGAGCTCGTAGGTATACTCAAGGGCATAGGTATACTCCAGGTCATAGGTATACTCCAGGACATAGGTATACTCCAGGCCATAGCTATACACCAGGGCATAGGTATACTCCAGGACATAGGTATACTCCAGGCCATAGGTATACACCACGACATAGGTATACACCACGACATAGGTATACTCCAGGCCATAGGTATACTCCAGGCAATAGGTATACACCAGGACATAGGTATACTCCAGGCCATAGGTATACACCAGGACATAGGTATACTCCAGGACATAGGTATGCTCCAGGTCATAGGCATACTCCAGGCCATAGGTATACACCACGACATAGGTATACTCCAGGCCATAGGTATACTCCAGAACATAGGTATGCTCCAGGCCATAGGTATACTCCAGGCCATAGGTATACACCAGGACATAGGCATACTCCAGGCCATAGGTATGCTCCAGGACATAGGTATACTCCAGGACATAGGTATGCTCCAGGTCATAGGCATACTCCAGGCCATAGGCATACTCCAGGCCATAGGTATGCTCCAGGACATAGGTATACTCCAGGACATAGGTATGCTCCAGGTCATAGGCATACTCCAGGCCATAGGTATACACCACGACATAGGTATACTCCAGGCCATAGGTATACTCCAGGCCATAGGTATACTCCAGGACATAGGTATACACCACGACATAGGTATACTCTAGGCCATAGGTATGCTCAATCATCGGTATACTTTGAGGTCATAGACGGTATATTTTTTAATTGAAGTGTGTAACATCAATTACTGAGTTATAACAAAGTGTTTAGTATGAGAGTGTGGTAGTGGTGTATTGTGAAGACTTCTCTCTCACACCACATTATCATCTCTTTATAACATACAAATAAAAGTTTATAATAATGCTTTCCACTATAGTCTGTGCAAACACACACGGACCACACTCGTAGTGGTGTGTGTTTGCAAGCACGCACGCACACACACACACACACACACACACACACACACACACACACACACACACACACACACACACACACACACACACACACTAATAATGCCGTTCCTCGTAGAGTCTATTAGACACGGAACTCAGATGTCATGTTGCCACAGTGAGAGGGGTGGGGGGTGGTGGGGGGAGTGGGGAGGGGTGTACCGGGTGTACCAGCCCGTGTACTGGTCCAGTAAATCACTGACCTCCTCCCCACAGGCCAACGCCGTCACCCATATATTCGTGCAGGTTATCCTTAAACCTATAAACTGGTACAGGAAATGTACACATTTCCTGAATAACATTGGTGACCCGAGATGGTCAGTAACCTTATTTGGCGGCCAAGTGCTCCTTCTGGCACGGCTCGTATTGGGGGTTGAGCTCTGGCTCTTTGGTCCCGCCTCTCAACTGTTAATCAACATGTGTACAGGTTCCTGAGCCTATTGGGCTCTATCATATCTACACTTGAAACTGTGTATGGAGTCAGCCTCCACCACATCACTGCCTAATACATTCCACCTGTTAACTACTCTGACACTGAAAAAGTTCTTTCTAAAGTCCCTGTGGCTCATCTGGGCACTCAGTTACCACCTGTGTCCCCTTGTTCGCGTACCACCCGTGTTAAACAGTTTATCTTTATCCACCCTGTCAATTCCACTGAGAATTTTATAGATGGTGATCATGTCCCTCCTAGCTCTTCTGTCTTCCTGTGTCGCGAGGTTCAGTTTTAGTTATCTTTCCTCATAGCTTATTCCTCTCAGCTCGGGGACTAGCCTGGTGGCATACCTTTGAACCTTCTCTAACTTCATTTTGTGCTTGACTAGATATGGACTCCAAGCAGGAGCTGCATATTCCAGTATTGGTCTGACGTATGTGGTATACAAGGTTGTGAATGTTTCCTTACACAAATTTCTGAAGGAAGTTCTTATGTTCGCCGGCCTTGCATACGCCGCTGATGTTATCCTTTCAGGGGCAAGGTCTGGTGTGATATCAACCCCCAGATCTTTCTCTCTCCCTGATTCCTGAAGGATATCATCTCCCAGCTGGTACCTTGTGTTTGGCCTCCTGCTCCCTCCCCCATCTTCATCACTTTATATTTGTTGGAGTTAAACTCTAGTAGCCATTTGTTGGACCATTTCTTCACTGTGTCCAAGTAGTGTCTTCGTCTCCATACTACCAGCGTCAGCACGCTGACAATGAGGAACTTTGGTCATAGCTGATACAAATTATTACAATAATGGCTGGAGTAAACAGGTGTACAAAGAGCGTAAATGAAACTTAAATTTTAGGTGTAAATTGAGTGAGATTTAGCGCACGATGTACAAGGTGGCATATTGTAGAAACAGAGTGTGGTGTACTGCATGAGCGGTAAAAAGCAGATATTGGCACAGTTGATACCACATAATTATGATGACGAGAAGACAGTCAGAAGTAATATCAATTAATCATACCGTGAAGTTGTAGATGTTTGCAACCCCCTCAGCGTCCTGCTTCAACATATGTGGGGCATGTGGTGGCTCAGCATACCCCCAGACACAAAACTTAGGCGGGACCAAAGAGCCAGAGCTCAACCCCCGCAAGCACAACTAGGTGAATACAGATCTGATGACCAGAGAAGGACTCCAAATGGCTATCAGTAATTACCCATCATTCTGTGGCAATATAGTTGCTGCATAGTTCCAAAATATCCACCAGGGGCCAGATTCACGAAAGCACTTACGAACGTGTACATCTTTCCTCAATCTTTGACGACTTTGGTTACATTTATTAAACAGTTTACAAGCATGAAAACTTCCCAATCAACTGTTGTTATTGTTATAAACAGCCTCCTGGTGCTTCGGAGCTCATTAACTGTTTAATAATTGTAAACAAAGCCGCCAAAGATTGAGAAAAGATGGACATGTTCGTAAGTGCTTGCGTAAGTGCTTTCGTGAATCTGGCCCCAGGGTCTTCAGCCTCTCTCTCAGCTCACGAGTTGTACTCACCAAGTTGTACTTGCGGGGGTTGAGCTTCGGCTCTTTGGTCCCGCCTCCCAACTGTAATGTGTTATTCTATCCTGTAGACCTTCAGCACTATTGTGTGTCATTCTTAACTTGTATTTCCTAAGATTTCCTTAACTAAGTGACTACCCGCCAAACACACACCGAAACTACGACGTTGGTGCAACGTTCGAACAAGTTTTAACACCTCCTAACCAGTTATAACAACCAATATAGCAAGTTGTAACAACGTTCTAATACGTCATAAACACGTTAAGCCAAGATGTAACACTTTTATTACAAGTTGTAACAAGCGGAAAATAGAAACAGTTTCGGTTTGTGTTTCCAGGGTAGTGGTTGTGTCACGTGACGCAGTGGTTGTCACGTGACACAACCACTGCGTCACAATGACGAGAGTTTCGACAGGTGTTCAAACAGCAGTTGGTAAACATAGAACAGTGACGCCACTACACCCCATACCACGAACATCACCACCACTGCTCAATACTCATGCACCACCACCACCACCACCACACCATGCAGCAGGAGGTCCCAGGAGACAGGACGCAGCTGGGGGCAAGAAGAACCAATGAATACATTGTGTCGTGTGTTAACATGTTTACCTTAGGGAAGGACGGAGGTAGGGAGTCTCTCCCTCCCTTACCCTAGGGTAGGGGGGAAGGCAAGTAGGGAGGGAACCACGGAGAGAGAAGAGGGAGAGAGAGGGTGAGGGAGGGAGAGAGGGGGGGAGGGAGGTGGTGCGGCTCGACAACTGCTACTAACTCACATGTCTTCTCTCCTACAGGTTACCTCCTATACAAAGACTTTAGTGAAAACGTATGTGAGGAGCCCGTTCACCAGCTTAAGTTTTACGAGGAGGTGAGTACCACTCTTTGTGTGTGTGTGTGTGTGTGTGTGTGTGTGTGTGTGTGTGTGTGTGTGTGTGTGTGTGTGTGTGTCGGGTGCGTGCGTGTGTGTGTGTGTGTGTGTGTGTGTGTGTGTGTGTGTGTGTGTGTGTGTGTGTGTGTGTGTGTGTGTGTGTGTGTGTGTGTGTGTCGGGTGCGTGTGTGTGTGTCGGGTGCGTGTGTGTGTGTCGGGTGCGTGTGTGTGTGTGTGTGTGTGTGTGTGTGTGTGTGTGTGTGTGTGTGTGTGTGTGTGTGTGTCGGGTGCGTGTGTGTGTGTGTGTCGGGTGCGTGCGTGTGTGTGTGTGTGTGTGTGTGTGTGTGTGTGTGTGTGTGTGTGTGTGTGTGTGTGTGTGTGTGTGTGTGTGTGTGTGTGTGTGTTGGATGTGTTGTCTCACGTGGCTAGTGGTTGACATGCTCACTCAGCATGTGAGTGCCACACAAGTGTCCAGAGTGACACCTGTGTGACTCAAGACACAGGTGTCATGGTGGTCACATCTACTAAACATCTGGCTGTGGGTATCTTGTGGCCGCCAGATCTGGAAATCATTTTTTATAACATAGAGATTTGAAGAGTTACCAAGAGGTTGGTAACTCACACAGTGGGGGATGGGGGGGTGGGGGGGTGTTATAGTGCACATGTTGCTGCAGCGTGTGCAGCTGCTCAGCTGTCGTGCACATCCTGAGCCTCCACGGGGAGAAACTGTAAGCCGGGACAATTCCCGACTAGTATTAAAGATTCCTCAACCACTTCCGTCTCGCTCTTGGTTATCAACTCTAACTGCGACGTTCCTGAGTGACTTAATGGTGCCCAGTGGCAGTACCGTGGGTGCTGGTAGGAAGGCTCGTACTTTTTTGAGACCCCAGTTCGAATCTCAGATCATCCATATGTCCTTGTTTCTTCCTCCCATATGACTCCACGGTGGATCCGTACTGACTTAATCACCAGGCGCTCGTTACTGTGTTTACAAGGCTGTTCATTCCTGCCACTGTGTGTCCCGTGGTCTGTCTACTGTGTCTTACTGTGACAGTGTAGATCTGTGTGTCCCATGGTCTGTCTACTGTGTCTTACTGTGACAGTGTAGATCTGTGTGTCCCATGGTCTGTCTACTGTGTCTTACTGTGACAGTGTACATCTGTGTGTCCCATGGGCTGTCTACTGTGTCTCAGTGACAGTGTAGATCTGTCTCTCCCATGGTCTGTCTACTGTGTCTCACTGTGACATTGTAGATCTGTGTGTCCCATGGTGTGTCTACTGTGTCTCACTGTGACAGTGTAAATCTGAGTGTCCCATGGTCTGTCTACTGTGTCTCACTGTGACAGTGTAGATCTGTGTGTCCCATGGTCTGTCTACTGTGTCTCACTGTGACAGTGTAGATCTGTGTGTCCCATGGTCTGTCTACTGTGTCTCACTGTGACAGTGAGACATAATAATGCTCACTGGTTCCTGCTGGGTTGAAGAGTCATGGTTCACCATTCGTGCTTCGTACTCATTTACTTTTTGGAAATATTGTTGTTAATGAGTGTGTGTGAGTTAATGAGGGCCCTGGCCTCTCATTATCATCATTACCTGAGCAACAACTTTGATTTGACACTCATTAATTTCTTAGTAATTGTTAGAATAAGTCCATATGACTCATTTCTTCTGACAACAAGTTAAGACTTCGTTCTTATTTTGTATATTTTTAGCCTGCGTGGATGGTCTTGACAGGGAGGTGAGGCTCCTGGTGGAGGCGTGGATGGTCTTGACAGGGAGGTGAGGCTCCTGGTGGAGGCGTGGATGGTCTTGACAGGGAGGTGAGGCTTCTGGTGGAGGCGTGGATGGTCTTGACAGGGAGGTGAGGCTCCTGGTGGAGGCGTGGATGGTCTTGACAGGGAGGTGAGGCTCCTGGTGGAGGCGTGGATGGTCTTGACAGGGAAGTGAGGCTCCTGGTGGAGGCGTGGATGGTCTTGACAGGGAGGTGAGGCTCCTGGTGGAGGCGTGGATGGTCTTGACAGGGAGGTGAGGCTCCTGGTGGAGGCGTGGATGGTCTTGACAGGGTGGTGAGGCTCCTGGAGGAGGCGTGGATGGTCTTGACAGGGTGGTGAGGCTCCTGGAGCAGGCGTGGATGGTCTTGACAGGGTGGTGAGGCTCCTGGAGCAGGCGTGGATGGTCTTGACAGGGTGGTGAGGCTCCTGGAGCAGGCGTGGATGGTCTTGACAGGGTGGTGAGGCTCCTGGTGGAGGCGTGGATGGTCTTGACAGGGAGGTGAGGCTCCTGGTGGAGGCGTGGATGGTCTTGACAGGGAGGTGAGGCTCCTGGTGGAGGCGTGGATGGTCTTGACAGGGTGGTGAGGCTCCTGGAGGAGGCGTGGATGGTCTTGACAGGGTGGTGAGGCTCCTGGAGCAGGCGTGGATGGTCTTGACAGGGTGGTGAGGCTCCTGGAGCAGGCGTGGATGGTCTTGACAGGGTGGTGAGGCTCCTGGAGCAGGCGTGGATGGTCTTGACAGGGTGGTGAGGCTCCTGGAGCAGGCGTGGATGGTCTTGACAGGGAGGTGAGGCTCCTGGTGGAGGCGTGGATGGTCTTGACAGGGTGGTGAGGCTCCTGGTGGAGGCGTGGATGGTCTTGACAGGGAGGTGAGGCTCCTGGTGGAGGCGTGGATGGTCTTGACAGGGAGGTGAGGCTCCTGGTGGAGGCGTGGATGGTCTTGACAGGGAGGTGAGGCTCCTGGGGGAGGCGTGGATGGTCTTGACAGGGAGGGGAGGCTCCTGGGAGAGGCGTGGATGGTCTTGACAGGGAGGTGAGGCTCCTGGTGGAGGCGTGGATGGTCTTGACAGGGAGGTGAGGCTCCTGGGGTGGCCGTTGTGAGAGGTGGCCGTAGTAGCAGGAAGGTACGCAGTAATGTGCTGGGCTCCGGGGGGTTCCCCACAGCCACTGGAGGATAATTGTAGGAGGAGTGATGGTCGCGCACGACGCCACTCCGTGTACAACAACTAATTGTCAGGCGCGGTAGGTCTCAGCCTGGGGATTAGTTATGTGGTGACCCGCAGTTGGCAACACTCACCCAGGTGTCACCCAGTCTTGCTAATTACCAAAGGCGACGTAATTTGTGTAGGAGTCATCATGCAACACAAATTGTGCATGTGTGTGTGTGTGTGTCAACACATTGGGGGGAGAGGATGCGAAGGGGAGGCGCATCATTAGGGGTGGTCCCCCTAAGGCAGGAGATGTGCAGGTCCCCGGGTGGAGGAGGATGCTGCTGCTCCTGCAGCATGTTAATGCTTAGGCCGCGCCTTCGGCAACTGTGTGTGCTGCCAAGACCCCTCCTGGTGGGGGGTGGGGGGGGTGAGGGTGGTGGAGGAGGAGAGCTTTACCTTCATATTCTTATCCTCTGCTTCATGAAGAATAGCTCCTACAGTGCTGTTGGTCACTGTTAGTTAGATGCCGCTCTTATACTCGCCTCGTGTTCCACACACCTTGGTTATGTGGCTCAGGTGTTTTATGTGTATAGCTGGGTACACGTGTTTAATGTGTGGGGAGTGGCTCAGGTGTTTTATGTGTATAGCTGGGTACACGTGTTTAATGTGTGGGGATTGCCTCAGGTGTTTTATGTGTATAGCTGGGTACACGTGTTTAATGTGTGGGGAGTGGCTCAGGTGTTTTATGTGTATAGCTGGGTACACGTGTTTAATGTGTGGGGAGTGGCTCAGGTGTTTTATGTGTATAGCTGGGTACACGTGTTTAATGTGTGGGGATTGCCTCAGGTGTTTTATGTGTATAGCTGGGTACACGTGTTTAATGTGTGGGGAGTGGCTCAGGTGTTTTATGTGTATAGCTGGGTACACGTGTTTAATGTGTGGGGAGTGGCTCAGGTGTTTAATGTGTTTGTGGCCGTAATCAGGTGTTCTATGTTTATAGTTGGGGTCCCATCTATGCCCCGTATGATCTATGGGAAGAACCTACTTTATATTTGTTGTGTGTGTGTGTACTTACCTAGTTGTGCTTGCGGGGGTTGAGCTCTGGCTCTTTGGTCAGACATCAATGTCACTAATTAATGCACAACTATATTCTACCCACTTCAAGGCACCGTATGGGCCGATAAGCCCTCTGCAGTTACCTCCATTCTCATGTACCCGCCTCACCCAAAACCTTTGTGTCACCTCACCCAAAACGAATAAAAAGGAAGATTTAAAGAAAGAAAAAACCACTATCATGTACAGTGTATCAGGTGTATCATTAGTGTAGTGTTAAGTGTAAACAAATCTTTGAGGATGTAAGAAGCCCTCACGGAACGCTTCATAACTACTCCGTAATCAAAGAGTAACACATTTGCCCACGTGCACATTTCATGCTCAATGTTCTCAATGTTCATTTGGCTTTGTGTGAGGACCGAGTCCCATCTTGGTGGTTGGTCTTGCCTCTTGTCTCAGTAATGTGTTGTGTTAGCAAGTTTCTCTCTGCAGCTCTCAGTGTTGTTCTCCGTGTTTCTTCTCCCTCTCTCGGAGCCATTCATTCCCAGTCAGTTTGCTCATGATTAAAATCTTGCCTTACTAGTAGCTTTGCTCACAATTTAAGGGATAATTCAGCCACACTTTGTATGATATTCCAGCTGTGTTAGTGTTCTGGTGGTGGTGTCTGCGTCTCCTGTGGGTCTCAACCACTCTTTTCCTTCCGCTGAGATGAGTCCTGCCACAGTGTCTGCATCACCTCTCTTCAACCCTGCTCTTTCTTTTGGCCAGCAGCGTCACTCCTCCTCCCCCTCTCTGCTATCTTTCACTTCTTGCTATTGTCTGGAAAATATTACATTAGTGATAGTTTCAGTTATTTTAGTTTCTACTTTTGCTATAACTACAAGATGAGACGCCTCACTGGCCACAGCTGGTGGCCCAAGAGCTTGGGTCTACTCCATGTTGTGTATCTATAGCTGACAGTCACCTATCACAGGTTCACTGTCATCACTCCCTCCTAGGCACATTTACATCAGCCATTCTTCACT